TTCAACAAGGGCAAGTACAGGGTCCTGCACCTGGGGAGGAACAACCTCATGCACCAGTACAGGCTGGGGCAGACCTGCGGGACAGCAACTCTGTGGAGAGGGACCTGGGACAGATTAACCATGAGCAAGCAGTGTCCCCTTGTTGCCACCTGGAGCATCTCTCCTACAAGGAGAGGCTGAGGGAGCTGGGCTTGTTCAGCCTGGAGGAGAGAAGGCTGAGAGGGGACCTTAGAAATGCTTCTAAATGTCTGCAGGGTGGGTGTCAGGAGGACGGGGCCAGACTCTTTCCAGTGGTGCCCAGTGACAGGACAAGGGGCAACGGGCACAAACGGAAGCAGAGGAAGCTCCAGATGAACACGAGGAAGAACTTCTTCCCTCTGAGGATGACGGAGCCCTGGCCCAGGCTGCCCAGGGAGGTTGTGGAGTCTCCTTCTCTGGGGATATTCAAACCCCGCCTGGACAAGGTTCTCTGCAGCCTGTGCTGGGTTGGACTGGGTGATCCCCAGAGGTCCCTTCCAGCCCCTGCCATGCTGAGATTCTGTGATTCTGTGAACTGTCAAGGGTTTTTTTCATTTTCTGTGAATTATCCATCTACCATGGCTTCACTAGCATGAGTGATAAAATAATGCGGCCATTACCATATGGGCATAAAACTCAGGCAGCAACCTGCCACAGACCAGCATGAAGAATGTAGCAAATCCACTTAACTGAAACACAGAAAGGTAAAATTCTCCAAACCAGAAAAATCTTGAGAAGAACAAAAGAGAGATGTGCAAAAAAAATTTTAGGAGGATATTGTGAGAGGTGTCCGGGAACATGCCTTGCTGTTCCTCAGAGAGCGTTAACTACACAGTGACGCGTGTCTTGGTAAGAGTGCGGAGCCTTTGTAGCAGCACTGTACACCAGATAACCTCGGGGCCCTACAGAAAAACAGCAGCCTTGGCACTCTAGAAACACATGACTTTCCTGTCTTTCTGGGAGAAGTGCAGACCTTGTGACAGTCTGGCACCTCTGATGATCCCCACTAGAGGTCACAGAAGTAATTGCACTTCAGTGCACTACCTGGAGCGTGTGCAGTGCAGCGAGCGACGCTGCCATGACAAAAGACGGGATCCTCTACGGCGACTTGAACAGAACTGTTTTCTGAGACGGGTACCGAACTAACGGCGCCCGCCTGCGGCAGCTGCCCAGCAGGTACTGCCCGTATCTGTACGCAGGAGCTACCGGTGAGGCTCAGGCGTACCCCCTCCCAGTGGTCAACAGCTTTGGAGATGAAGGTAACTGAACTAATCAGACATCGAAGTAGAGCAGAAGCCAAACCTGAATCCAGCATGATCAGGGGAGCAGACATTTCAGAAACTGCTGCTGAAGTGAAATGGCATCAGTAAATTTTAACAGAAGAGAACTAGGTAGTAACTCCCAACACTAACATTCAACTTCTTCTTCCAGCCTTCAGCTCTCATTAAATGTTCAGATAGAATCACTGATCTGATTGACTGCCACCAGTGATTAACCAGAGAATACAGATTTGTGCTAATTGCTCTACACTCTTTTCTTCAGTAATTGGCCTGGAAAAATGCAAATAATTGTGTTGTGACTGGTTCCTGCAGTCAGCATTTCCAAATTCTTTGCAAGTTCCCTTGCAAGTTCCCTTCAGCTTCAAATTTTGTGGAAAGATTAAAGGGTAGTGTGGGAAATCTCAGCCAGCATAAACAAATCCTTCACCTTTTTTCTTCACAGGATAATCATACTTGCCCTTTCTGCTCGCTTTGGAAATGCTTAAGTGAAATCCTGACTTTAGTTAGAACTACAGGGAGGTGCTATCCACTGAGGAAGACTGTTTTGTCCTCCTCCGAGAGACGCTGGAAGGACCACTGCGGTGGCTGAACAAAGCGGCTGACAGGCCTAGTCAGAGCAAATCGAAAGATCCAGGGGAGGTTTTTAAAACCAGAGTGCTATGGGATATACTGACAGGGGCAGACAAGCAAAAAAAGCTTGTAAAGTGTAGGATGTAAAGCCTAGTCGAAAAGAAAAATTGTTCCTAAGTCACAACCAAAGGCTTCGGTCAGCCATGAGACAGGCTGTGTCACACCTGACTGCGTGGCAGAGTAAGCAGACCCCTGCACCTGTAACGGACTTAATCCAGGATAGGCCAGGAAAACAAAATAAAACAAAATAAAACCAAACCACTCAAAAAAACCAAACCAGCAAAAAAAGCCCTTTTATTTTGCTGGGTTGCTTGTCAGCTGGGTCAGGTCCCCAGGCAAGCGCAACAGGGCCTGGCACAGCTGTCCTGGCACAGCAGAGAGGAGGGGGCACGGGCCGGCTGCCGCGGCGGGGCGACGCCAGCTTTGCTATTCCAGACGCCTCTGCGGAATGGCTGCCCAAGGACGCGCAGCACTGAAGGTGCTCCTGATCGCACAGGCAGACGCTCACGCACCGAGGGAACTCTGTCAGTCCCGAGCCGAGTTCTGCCTAAGCTACGTGTGGGCTTGTGGACCCTGAAACTTGTGCCAGAGAGGCTGAGATGCCAGTAGCTGTACTGCTACCGACGGGAGTCACGCTCAGCCAAAGCAGGGAGGTGGACACGGCTGTGAGATGGCATCCAGCACGCTACGTCGCCTGGACCTGGGCTGGAACAGCGTGAGGCTCGCTGTGCGGGTGGCTTGGTGGGCTGGCTGGGAGGCGCGACGCAAAGGGGCTGGGGAGGTGGCTGGGTTCTAGGCAGCAAACCCTGTCCAGAACGCTAATCACTGACTCACTGAAATACATAAAAGAACCAGGTAAACTGAACAGCCCCTTGGAAAACGATTACATGCAGGTCTCATTAAAGGGTCCCGTCGCTGGTCACCGAAATGCAGCTGCTTCCACAGTGGAAACGGAGAGCTGCTTCAGAGCACCACTCAGTAAGAGGCAGCGAACTGGAAGGATAAGCTGCATCTGATTCTAAAGTTTGATTGCAAAAGGTGAATGTCAGGTCTGAAAAAACAGTAATTGCTCAGAGTAGAGTTGAGCCAGCACATCTCTTGAAAAAAGCAGTAGTAGTTCATCCCTGACCATGAGCAGCTGGATCCCTTCACTTTATACTCCTGTAAGTGTCAGAGCTGTCGGGGGTAGGTTTATGTCTCCGAGGAGGGAAGCCAAACTGCACCCAGCCGTGTGTGACAAGATGATTTAAGTGGCTAACCTTTTAAACAGCGCTTGTTTTTGTAGGTACGACATCTTTACATCGTTGAACTGGTTTTTTTGTAATTTTTTTAATGTGTGAAATGTTATGAATCAGATGATACAAATCAGAAAGCACAGCTCTGCCAAACTTGTGAACTTTAGTTTTCCATTTCATTACATAAACTAATCTGATCTATCAAAGGACAGTTAGACTCTTAAATCATTGTCTGCTCTATTTCAATGTAGTTTGAACCAGATAAGCCTAAAAATATGAAGCAAGAACCTAAGTGGGAAAATGAAAGTTTGCGTTTTACCCTTGAAGAAGCTTTAGGCTGACTTTGAAAGCAGAACATTACTTCCCCATTCTTCTTCCCGCCCCTCTCTTCCTCGTTAATATATTAGGGATTTCACAATGTGGTTATCAAAGACGAACTGATAATACCTGACTAGGTAGTACAAAGGAACAGGACTAAAAGTGGAGGTTTATAACCTAAATTTGAACAGCAACAACTCTCGGCTCCACAACGGCAACCTCACAGTACATGACCGTAATTCCAGAGTTAAAACCAAAAAACTAGAGCAGGACGTTACTTGTTGAAGTGCAGTTCAGGAATTCGTGAGTGTCCTTTAGAACTGCCCGGTCTCTCTGATGCACTTGAGGGACCGGCAGTTTTGTTGCCTGCAGCTGAAGCACTGACAGAGCAGCGTGAACGCTGGCTGCCCGTCGGGGTTACCCTAACCCTGCTGCATTCCGCCCTTTATCACACGTCACTGTCGCCTCCGCCGGAGTGTACGCGCTGTCATCGGGCAGTCCAGGAGGGCTGTGTTGTGCTCTCCGGCTCTCGGGAGCAGGAGAACCGCATCAAGTAAAACAACAGACACCCAGCCCTCTGGCTAAATGAAATTCTGATCTGACGCTAAGTAAAGGTTTGCAGATTTGGCTTTTATCTTAGTACGACATCTGCTCCAAGTACAGAACTGATAGTTTTGATGCAAAAGATAGGAAAGATACATGGAAAATTTTCCACAGACACCTCCAAGAACTTCAAGTATTTGTGAATTTTAATTGATGAGTGTTCAGGCACACAAACAAAAAGGAGAAGCATCTGGATTTCAAAATACATGCATCAGAACACTAAAAATGGAACAAAATGGCCCGAATTTACTAACTTTTCTTCTCCTTGCTTTCTGGCCTTGGGCTGTAACACGGAGGTAAGGCCACCCATCTGCCTCAGTCTCGTTGTCAATATTAAAAGGAGAGCTGAGTGTTGAGATACTATCATAAAAAATGTCATAAAAGGTCACAAGATGGTCGAGGAGGAAGAGGCTCCACCACAACCTGACAGAGCCACATGAAATTCCAGTCTCATTATGGGAAGCAGTGGAGTCCACGCACCTCACAGACACAGAAATCCACTATTCAAGAACATCTCATTCTTTTTCACAATAATTCAGTGAAAATTCCAGAAAAAGCCTTCCATGCCTTGCTAAGAGTTTTTGCATTTTCTTTATCATTAATGACCTTAGAAAATATTTTTCATGAAGCAAAGAACATAGAGCATGCTGTGTCATGCTGTAGCAAATGTAATAGTGGAACTGCTTTTAAACAGGACCAGGAGAATTTTTCAATGAGTGTATTAACTTGCGAGCCATTTATGTATGAAATTTGCAGGTCAAAAGCCAGAGAATGTGGGTTTATTCCAGCTCTAATTTCTGGTGGAAAAACCGGTCCCAGCTTGCATCTTCTGTTAATCCCCTAGTTATGTACAAAAAAATTTTAGTTTATGTGCTGATTGCTCACGGTACGGGTTGTTAAATGCCGTTGAGTAACGATGATAGTAATGTATTTGCTAAAATAACAGTATTTGGTTAAGACTGAGCAAAGAGAGGAAAAGCTCCCAAGGGATACTTTGTCTCCTATAATACTTGATTACTCTGAGACTGAAACTGTGAAGGTTTGGGGGTGCACTTGTCTGCCCTTCATCCTTCCCAATTTCACTTCTGTCTGCAATGCACACTGCACTTTGTCAGAAATGCTGGAGGAGCAAAGCTTGCTACTGTTGCACAAGAATACCCCCACAGGCCTAAAAACAGTGAAAAACTGAGACACATAAATGAGGACAGTACCTGCAATAGCTTGCAAGTGAGTGCAGGAGATGTATCCCACGATTCTTTGGTCCTGAGGTGTACTTCCCACTTGTACCTGCAAGGGAAGGAAGAAATCAAAAGGTGATTAATGGAGAGCTCACACAATTCTGCTTCTGTCCCCGGCACCGCAGCCTTTGTATGCAGTATTGGCCTGTTTCACCACTTTTTTTTACATTCAGAGAACACACACACACAAAACCACCAGAAACACACTGGGGTCCTCCTTGCTGCGAACACACCAGCTCCTTCCCGATCACTACAGCGTTTCGATTTTGATCTGCAGCACACAGGTAGACTGGACTTTCCCCTGCCCTTTGCCAGCCCGCTGTCTCTCTGTCCCAGCTGCATTGCCAGCTCCTGGCATCCCATGCTTGTTCGTACGCAGGACTCGGGCCCCCCACAGACGTGCCCTGTGGTACGCGTGTCACCAGCAGGCTGATTCTGGGCGTCTGTGCAAGACCAGAATGCAGAAGGAAAAAAATGCCAAGGGAGTGTGGGGAAAATGATAAAACAGGAAATAAATATTGGGTTTGACTGTGTTTCCTACATTCCACAACAAGTTTTGGATTTTGATGGATTTTTTACATCCTTCCACCAAGGTGTGGAAGGTGGGATTTTTGCTATGTCTCAGCAAAGTGTTTACATCCTTCTGCTCGCAGCAGCAGCCCACCCCATGTCTGTCAACCAGATGAAAACACAACGTGCACCCCTGCTCTTGGAGACAGAAGAGGCAAGGGCTTCCAGGGAAGGTGGAATGTAGTATCATTCCTCAGCCCTACCATATGCTGCTATCTTTTCAAAATACATTAGCTGGTGGACACACAAGCAAATTAGAATGAAGTTCTCTGGTTTAGGTTTTCGGGTCTATTGAAGGTTTTGGCAGTGCAGGACTTCTACAGCTACAGATCAAAATTCCCAGTGATTTCAGGATCAAGATTTGGATTCGGGCAAGAAACTGGTTTTTGATTTCCTGTTGACAATTAAGGTGGCAACAGTGCGTGGACTACTAAACAAAATGCCCACAGAGGAAAGTTGTACCCAGGGCTCAGAAAACAAACCCACCGGTGACTTTCCTTCACCAGGCTACGCTCAGATTTCAGCTGCCGCCTCTGAATAGCAAGCAGAGCTCCATTTCATACAGACCCAACTTCGTCAGCTTGGTTGGTTTTGTTGTTTTTCAGCTATTGAAGAACAATCTGATTAATTTTACAACTGGAAAGCCAGCTTTGCAGTAAGTGACTTCAGAAGTCACTTGTACTCAACAGCGCCTTGTTAACTCTCCGGCTTTGTTCCAGCTAGAAGAGTAGGCTATACACAGCTCGCAGCATTCTGTCCTCTTTGAGACAGTTTTCCAAATGGGTCTCGGTGGTGTTCTTACTGCTGTTCCCATACAGTTAACCTGCGTCAGGGAGGGTGAGGGCGGAGGAAGACAAGGCAAATACCTGCAATAGCTGGTGGATCTACCACCAAGCCAAGGGGATTCTCCTAAACTGTCAGGATTGCAGCAGCCTCAGAGGATCTGCGGATCTGCTGGATGCCTGTCAGTGACTACCACAGAAGTTTCGCTACAGAGACCTCTGCCTCCCTTAGGCTGCCTTGGTCGATTATATCACAATGTCCCAGGTGAATTAAAAGGAGTGTCCTCCCCAGTTTTTTATGCAACATAGGCCATTCCAACAGAAAAGTAGGCAACCATTAGTTTACATCCTCTACTATCTAGGGCAGGCAGGTGTATGAATTGTATTTTCCAAACTTAGTAACTCAAAATCAGATTTTCTCTTCATCGCTGAAAACTGTACGTTGTAAAATTTGCACTAGTTAATAAATACACAGTGTCTCCTGCTGCAGAGAAAAAGCGTGCATGTTGTACATCTTTCAATGCCATCTACTGGAGCCACACTGCAAAGAAAATACTGCCCGTAAAGTTTTCTGCCTTATCGCAAGAATGCGCTGCTTATAATCCTCTTATTGAGTAAAGCAGATGGAATCCTCTTCAGTGTCTCTATCCAAAAAAGCATAAAAGATGTAAGTCTAAAAGCTCAACAGCCAAATGTAAATTATGGTCAGTCGAGAAAAAGAAGTCAACTCAAATTTGCATTAGCATTTCCTGTGGAGCCTTAATGGACTGCCCGACAAGGCCTCGTGTTCATCAGCCAATTTATGCGCAGGGTCATGCTCATTTCCATTCGTCATAAATAAATCTGTATGGTGCAGTGTCCCCGTGTGACGGATCTGTACTGAAATGGACGTGGGATCTTCTGTGCTCAAAGCAATGACAAGGAATGGCCTAGAAACAAGCCTGCCTGCCGCTAGACGTGGGTGGGCGAGCACAGCAGATGCCCCTCGGCGCTGCCACCACAGGGTGACTGTGCCCAGGGCTCCGCGCTTGCTGGGAACAACGGCCACTTTACACCCCCCGAGGGGAGAGGGCAAGGGTCTTTCATAAACACTCTGCTCATTAAAAAGGAAAAAAAAGCAAAGCTCAAAAGCATGAGCTGAAGACATCACCATAATTAGAATTTCCTTGGAAGGTGCCAGCATGGAAGAACATCCAAAGCAGCTTGTCTCCCAGATTTCGCATTTCCTCCAACTTTTTTTTCTTTTGGGGTGGGGGGTTTTTTTGAGCGGCAGTATTGATGTAAACCGCCAAGCAGAGTCACTTTGAGTATAATTGTAATGGAGGCAAATGCTTGTGACAACTACTAGGAGAGAAAATAAATATCCTTGCAATTCCCAGCTACAGTAGAAGCACTAGTATATTAAATATGGTCTGAAATAAAATAGTAAGGAAAATCTGATTATTCAGTCTAGTTTGGTATTTCACAAATGGACAAGGACTATGGGGTGTGCCGACAGGAAAACTACTTGACCTCTGCAATATTACAAGCCCTATAATTCTGCATAAAAAGATGCCTTTGTGTGGCCGAATACCGTAGCTACTTTTAGACCGTTCTGTTTGCAAGGGTGTGTTATGCTGCGGTGACTCGGCCTGAGCAGCAACGTGGCAGTCCTGCGGGAAGGCAACACGCAGCGTCTCGTTCAGCATGCAACGTGGATCTGGGCAGAAAGGTTCCACTTCTGCCAAACCAAGTCAGCACTTCACAAACAGAACATAACTTTTGTTACTTAATGTAGAAGAAACGTCTAAATTCACATTTACAAAGAAAATCTGTGTAAGCAAATAAGCCGGAGTGGCTCCTTCACCGTAAGCCTGGCTCAAGTTCACCGTAACTGGTCTACGTTACTAGCTCTGTGTCACTACTGCATTCACTGCATTACCCTTCCGTGGGCAGCTACTGCAGGTATTGCTTTCTGACAACCATCGCGTAGTCTTAGCTGTGTCATGGACCACTCTTCTACACCTATGGAAATTTATAGGAAAGTCATATCTAAATATATCTACAAATTCCCAGTGTTTTAAAACAGGATAATTATTACGAGAGGGAAAAGTTGTATGTGATATCTTGTTAAACTCTGATGTTACCTGTAGAGGTAAAACTAAAATAGCGAGAACATATTAATGGTTTAATAAAGTGTCCCAATTATATAATTTTGACAGAAACAAATTAATATTTTTCAATATTATGCTGAAATATGCAAAATATATTCCAATTCTCAGTACATTTGCAAAGGTTAAGTGATCAAACTAGTCAAACATTTGGAAGTTAGGGGTGTATTCTGATCCCTGTTACACCACTGAGCACGACGTTTTGTTAGCAGTTGGGGTAGGGGGCCATAAAAAGCTCATTACAGATGAGAAACAGGCTTTTTCCCCTAAAGGGGGAAGCCTGCTAAGGTTGTGTTTGGAATCCAAAATGCCAGTTTCTGCTGCTACCAATTAATTTACAGGCAGGGGACAAATGTAAATCTGTAGCAGCAGAAACTGGCAAATAAATGCAAACCTGACATCTCTGAATTTTTCTTTTCAGTCAGAGTACTGACCGTGTCAAGTACACAAAAGTACTTGACCTCAAGTATCTTTTATTAAAAGATTTCCTCTCTGTGCCATAGCGCATTAGTACAATCTGTTGGAGAGACCGTGCTGATACTGTGCTGTACTGAGCAAAACTGTGTCTAGTCCTGTAATGGTGTCCCCAAAACTTGTCCTGTATGGGCTAAGGAGTAGTATGGCCTCCAACTGGACTGGTATTGGGTAGTAAACAGTGCTCATGAAGAAAGCAAGCCAACAAGGCTATGGCAGAAAGAGTCTTCTTGACAAGAAAAAAAAAAGTAATTAGTAGCAACAGTTGAAACCATTTTAGAGCTAGAGCGAAAGAAATAACTTGAAATTCAATCACATTACTTGCTGTCATGGGAATTTTCTGAGCTAAATGGAAAATCTTGCACAGCTCATGTTTACCATACCCCAGTATAGTAAGTATACAAAGCTGCAAACATGACAAATACCATGTCTTTAACAGTTTAGATTTACACATATCCGTCCCAGCAGTGCAAAACAGTTCTATTACATCTGGATGTCAAGAAAAGGAGCAGCAGATCCTTAAACAAAAAACAAGGAAACGCTACCTAAATACCAGGGGTAAAAACCAGCTTCAAACATGTCACTGCTGCGTTCACAAACCGTCGAATACTTGGGAGGGAATGTTCTTTGATGCTTAAAAATCTAGGCCATGCCACACATAAGAAATCTGGCTCGATGAAAGAAGCCAACAGGATTCTCAAACACTGACCAATACTGTGTAGACAAAACCAAAAGGTTTGTTATGAGGAGAACTTGACCTTTAGTGACATTTTCTAGGAGCTTCACACTTCCAGGAGATAGCCATTCAAACAAATCCTAAATAGACAGTTTCTTAGATGCGTACCCTCCAGTATGGAGGTTTATACACATACCAGTCTCAGCATCTGCCATTGCCCCTTCCTTCACGGGAAGCAAATCCCGGTGTACAAACCATGAGAGCGCTGAAATCTTGGCATGCTCCCAGACAAAGAGCCGCACGGAGCATATCACCCCACAGCCTACGTACGGCCAATCAACCCCAGGCTGGGAAAGGTAAAGAATCCGAATGCAGCACTGAGAATCCTTCAGGGAGA